CAGATGCATCTCAGTCTGACATCAGGTTTCTTTTGTTCTTTAATATGCATGCTCACCTGTTCAGTGGATTTCTCTCCCTCTGCTGGTCACCTGAGGTGTGTTTTCAGCGAGATCTCTGCTCATATCTTTTTCTGATAAGCTTAAAGAAATCTGTTCTTCTTGACGTGTTATTGAGTCTACTTAGTTTACTGAGGCAGCATCACCTGAAGCAAATATGTGAGACATCAAACGTATGAGTTCACGTCACCTCTGAGTCAGCCTGCAGTATCACGGAGACAAATACATCATAGAAGGTCATAGAAACCCATTGTTGAAAAGAAAGATACATCTGTTTCCCATTGTTGGCTTAGAGTACAACAGCTTTTTCAGTAACTCGTCTGATCCTGTTATTAGAGAGAAAAATGCATGATGTTTAAAAAATGAAATACTTATAATACACAAACAGGTAAACATGAACAAAATATATCACTGAGCTTCAGATTCTGTTCACACGATGTGAATAGTAATACGTTTCCATTCAGTAGTAAAAAAAAAAGTCTTGACATCTTTCAGACCCCTTTCATATTCATGTTAGGTTTTTTTGTTTTGTTTTTCTGTTTTGTGTGTTGTGTGTATTTATGTCATTAAGGTTATAACTGAATAACATGCTTATAGTGATTGGTGTATGAAGCCCTCTGACAGTTTCATCACCAGCAGGTGGCAGCACAGGAGATTCTGTCCGACCAATAACACGTGAAGGTGTTCACTGTGACCTCTGACCTTTAATGAGAGGGAAAAAACCGAAAATGATAAAATTGTAAATATGAGCTGATAGAGAGCAAACAATCTACATTACAGTGGATCAATAAACATCAGAGAAGTTAAACAATCAGTGAATATTAAACAGAAAATGGGCTTCTTCTGCTGTGCCCTCTGCAAAGAGCCAGCAGACACTAATATTATAAGCAGTCACAACCAATTATATCAATGAAAATTATCCAGATTAACAGTAACATGTGCAGGACACGTGTTTCTCAGTTCTTTGAATTCCAGTAACAGCTCAGCCAGCTTCAGCTCTGCTGTAGATGAATCCAGGAACGTGTTTAAAGCTGTTTTTCTATATTTGCTCCGACTGTTAGGGACAAACATACAATGAAGGTTATACGTTTCCACGGAAGGGCTGAACCGAATTCCAGGTTATGATAAGACAGGGTGTATGTGTGAGTCAGCGCTGATTAATGCTTCTTGATATTTCATACACACATTCAAACACTCCACTTGTCAGTCAACACTCTGGTTTATAAATATTATTAAAGACATAACATAAATATTAGAAGTCCATGAATAGATACGTGTCGTGTTCATAAGAGCAGCCTCTGTGTTTTAAATCAGACCTCCAGAGGGCCCCAAAGCTCCAGCTGGTTCATTTGTAATGAGGTCATTTGTTTTAAGTGACTCACTTTTATCTGCATATTAAACAGAGAAAAACCTGTTTATCCATCTGATTCATGGACAGTGATCTTTATATCATTAAGATGCCTCGAACGAGTAAAATACCAGGACAAATTGTGAAAACTTTCCACTGATAAACAAACTGCTAGTGGGCGTGGTCTTCTCTCTCTCTCTCTCGATTCTTGTGAAACAAAACTTACTGCATAACTTTCTTTTTCCCTCTCTTGGAGTTTTATTTCATAATAACTGACAATAACCAGTGAAGTCCCCTGACTCTCAAACAGCTTCAGTTAAACTCATTTGGTGTTTTGGTATGACTTCACAGAGCACCAGAGGAAACATGAGAGCGGAAACTTTGCACGTTTGACATTCAAAGTTTCCACTCTCACGGCCAGTTTTATCAGAGATCTGTGTGCTGCGTCTGCTCTGGGGTTTCAGTCTCTGAGTAGCTGCTGTTATAGCACTAATATGACTAAAGTTCTTTAACAGCAACAGCAGATTTTCCCCTTTATTGATTACAGAAAATTTTACTTCCTGAATGACAGGAACAAATACTTTCAAAGTTACAGTATGGTAACGTCCCTCCTCTATCCTCTATCCAACAGTGGGAAGAAAAAACTCCCTTTTACATTAAGAAACCTCCAGCAGAATCAGGCTCAGGGAGAGGCGCGATCAATTATCTTTAAACCTTTAGTGCTGCAGCTTCTCTTAGACCCGCATGAACATGTTGAACATGTCAAATTCACTTCTAGAGTAAAGAACCAAAGCAGGAAAACAGACAACAAACATCAGGAACTGTGTTATATTATTATTTATTTATTTAGGTTTTCTTTTGCAGGATAGAAGTCAAAAATAAGCAGGATACTTTTATTCGTTTTACATTAATCCTATTCAGTCTTAATGGGGGAAATTTATATTTTAAACAATCTGGAACGAGCTTCATTAATTTTAAGGCTGTAGCAGTTGTTCACAAATCCTTCATTGTCTGCCAAAAGTCCTTGCTTCATCCTTATTTGGTTTAAGCCAATGTTATTTTCTTTAAACAGTGGTGCACTGTTACTGAAACAATGTGCATTTGAGCCTCCTGCCCTATGACAGCTGGGATAGGCTCCAGGCCCCTCCCTCACAACCCTGAGAGAGGGTTGGAAGAAGACTGATTTAAAAAAAAAAAAAAAAAAAAAAGATTGCTAATCTCCTCCATTATTTATGATAACATCTACAGAGACAGCCAATGAACCAAAATATAGGTACAAGCATAGTACCTATCCATATCACACCTTGGAAAACTCCAACCCCTGAGCAACACTGACTTGGACAAGTGGAAGAAGGAAGATGGATATTGGATTTTTTTTTTTTTAAATCAGGATGCACTTTTGCTAATCTTCTCCATTATCCAAGATAACATCTACAAAGACAGCCAATGAACATGAAATATATGAACAACCATAAAAAAAGAAAGAAAGAAAGAGCACGTGGAGCCTATCCATATCTCAAAGGGATCTCAGTACTTTGGGTTATTGTTTTTAATTTATTTTAGTTTTAATTTCAATACATGTTACTTTTTAATATTTATTATTTTTACGGTTTTTAATTGGTTTTCTTCATAAGCATAGTTGGTATGTGTTAACTTTTGAGACAGCGGGAGATAACATTGTTAAACCTATGAATAACTGTGAGCCACTGCTAAATAATGTCAAGAATGTCAACGAGTCAGAACGTTGTATATATAGTATACGTTGTATGTATAGTACGTTTAGCTGAGAAACCTGCTTTAGCTTCAAACATGCATTCATATTGAAAAGAAAATAATTGTTTAATGTATATTTCTCTTGTTGTAATTTATTCCTTCCTATTAGCATTTATATTTTATTCCCAGTTGGCGTGGAACACTTACAATTTAATTGTACAATGACAACAAAGGGCTATTGTATTCTAATTGACTCAGTGTGACAGATCCAGGTTTCTGGATCATTATCAGACAACTCTCTGATTCAAACATCACATCTGTAGATCTCTAGTGGATTTTCAGCTCCTCACACAAAGTGATGAATTGCATCGTTCAGGCTGATGCATGATTATGTTGATATATTTTACTGTTTTTTTTTATTTATATCTAATTTCTATAAGTTTTTATTATATTTATTTATTTTTCATTTCATTTTTTGCCTAACACACCCTTATTGCACCAATAGTATGGAAATGCTTAAATTCATGGATCCAAAATCCATTTTCATTTTTTATCACCTCTGCTGTTTGTTTGTCAGATGAGGATGATTAGGTAGATGGTAAAAGTTCATGAAGTGCTTTATTCTACATAGCAGAAGCGGAATTTGTGCTATCCAGGTAACTTTATGATTAAACCTGTTTTTTTTCTATACTAAAAAAATGGTTCACGTCTTACTGGTACATCGTTAATCTGGGGGGACAAAATGAATAGCTGCATCTAAAAATCTGTATTTATTACTGATGCTCATCAGAAAAACAAACGCTAGATAAATTTCTCCTAGTACCAGTGCAGAGATTAGAGGGGTCCTCCAGGAACGGTGATGTTATTTCATAGAGAATTGATTGCTCAGAAAGCAGTGATTTCATACCTGCGGATCAGGTTAAGATCCAGATTGGAGATCAGCAGGGATGAAATCACTGGCTTCTGACCAATAAGTCTTCAGAAATTACCATCATCATTCCTGGAGGATCCCTCTGACCTGTGCAAGTGGATAGAAGGTTTCACAAGTCTGTGTTTCCGCAATGAGCATCAGCAATATATACAGATTCTTCGATGCAGCTTTTTTTTTTTTTAATGTAATCAAAAAAAATTATTCTAACCTTCTGCCTGCAAACATTTTGTACTTCTGGGCTTTACAAAGCCTGCTAGTACTAAAACTACATCTTCTCCCACTTGCTCACACACACTCACCATTTTCCTGTCTTTACTTCCTGCCTTTAAGGGTCAGTCTTACTGACCAATACTGTTCAAGCTTACACATACAAAGCACTTTTAAAACTAAAAATGAAATCTAATGAAATGCACTGCTTTTCAACTCCTTCTCTGCCTTGTTTGCAGCAGTGCTACTTTTCTGTTTTATGTGTTACCTCTTCATATTTTTCTAATAGTTTAGAAAACAAAACAAAAAAAATGTTGAAATCAGCCAATCGGCTACAATGATCAATGCGATGGTGAGATATCGCCCATGCTACCCCGTTCATGTGAACCTGGTCATCCTCATTGCCAATGTTAGCGTAAATTAATGCAGATGACGAAAAGGTACCCTGGTGTTAATTGAACGCACTTCATAGTGCAGGGCCCAGATTCGGGAGCTAGGTCATATTTCCATGTCTCCACTGAAGCTTTGGAACAGCAACAGAAGACTCACAGTTAAGATGTAAAAAAAGCTTTGAAACATTTCAAATAGACTACAGCTCAGCTGGAAGCTGGTATGGACTCTGACTCTTTTTTTTCTGTAGATCAAAAAACCAGCAAGAGTGGCAACAATGACGACAGCAGCAACAGACAGACCGACGATTAATCCAACAGATCCATCCTCCTTCCCTCCATCCTCCTTCCCTCCATCCTCCTTCCCTCCATCCTCTGTGAGTCCTCCTGACTGACCTGCAGGTGAGAAACAGGTGTGAGGTGTCAGCTGTCAGGTAGGTGATGAGTGAAGAACAGAACAGAATCCATTTCCTCTTCAAACTGCTGTCAGACATTATCTACTGCACTCTGATCACATCACTCAGACCAGCTGCTTTCTACAAAGTCTCATCAACAACATCTTTAGAAACAAACATCAACAACCAGGAAGCAGCTTCACCTCTGATCACACACACACTCAACTCTACTCACTCACCTGGAGGAACAACACTCAGTCTGATGCTCCTGACAGTTTCAGCAGTTCTCTTTCTGCGCTTTGTTCCTGGGATGAGGACACGACACACGTATATCCCATCATCGGCAGTAATCACATCCTTCAGAATCAGAGACACGTCTCCATCCTTCATCTGTGTGTCATTCAGATCCACCCGGTTCTTAAAAGATGGATGCTGGTAATCTGGGACAAACTGCTCATCCCGATACAAGAGGACATATTCTTCTTTCAGGTCAGCTCTATTCCACTCCACACCTATCAGGTTCTTGCTGTTGTTTGGAGCTCGACATGTCAGAGTGACGCTCTTTTGTCCAGACTCAGCTGTGATAATTTTCAGATCTGAAAGCGGAAACAACCCAGAAGAGGTTAAAGGCTATTATTTCAACAGCAGCCAATCAGAGCTACCTGCTTCCAGAGGAACCACTAAGCTCTGTGGAGTGACACAAACAGCCTCAACGGTCTTTGGGAGGAGCACTGAATAACGTCACATTCTCTAAATAAACAGACTATAGGCGACTTAACTGGTGCTTGGAAGAGGCAAGTTAAGGCACATGATTCTTACATTCTGCAATTCATCTCATGTAAACAATCACGTGGCGCACAGCGTGACGTGAAAAAAAGCACATACCAAAATAAGTTTGGGAACCAACTCCCCGCGAACCTGATAAATAACAGGTGGATGAATCGTACGTTAGCTCGAAGCTAACGGGAGGTCGAGACCTACTACAGCCGGGAGGAACACCGCTTTCCCGGCACATCATGCCTTGACCTCCCGGTCGGCTTCGAGCCGGCGTCCGAAGAATGCGGCTAAAACTTTTGCGAGATCCCGAGTTTGTTTTGCGAGATCTCGCACACATAACGAACAGATGAAGTATACAAAACAACAGAACATGAACACACAAAGCCAGGGGTAAAAGAAAAAGGTAACAATTATAAGAATACACGCAAAAATTCACATACATATATTGTTTTGAGAGCCTTTTTGTATGGAACGCCAGGACTGCCATAATGAATTAATTAAATACACCATTAAATAATTAATTAAATGTGGCAATAATTAATTAAAATTGGAATTAATTAATTAATTAAATAGTTATGACGCATGTAATTAATTAATTATTGACACATTTAATTAATTATTTATGTATTTCACATTTTAATTAATTATTGACACATTTAATTAATTATTTAATGATATATTTATTTATTTCATTTTGGCAGTCTTGGCGCCTGGCTCTCATCATGAAATAATTTTATCTGTCAGCCTCACCCATCAAACTCAGGGGGCGGGGTTAACGCTGATCGAGTCAAAACCATTGCTTTGGCCTGGTGGCCATTGTTTCTAGCACACAACAACCGGCATGTGGAAGCTAACAGAACTGAACTTTGAAAAACCCTGTTTGTGTGTTACCAAATACCGTTTTAATATTTTTTTAGCCGAGAATGTAGCGGTTTAATCTTCATGTGTCTGGTCGGTTTGTCAAGATACAGCCTCTTTGCAAAAGTGCTTCGATGATTTCGGCGATGTCTGCCCAGTCTCACGGCAAAGCGTGGGATAGACCCGCTCGCCTCGCAAACAATCCCACCGACAAAGCGCAGGCCCCGGTACACAGCTGTAGTAACCCCCGCTGACTTCTTTTACTGAGGTTATATTTATCGGTGTTTTATTTCCTGATGTTCTTATGTGTCCTACGTGTTTCAGTCGCCAATTCTGAATTATAACTAACATTAAAAACATGTTTAAGGAGGAGAGAGAGCAAATAAATCTGTTTAACATCTGATCTTTGGGTTTTTGTTCAGTAATCAGCGTGACCTGTGTATAAACACATAAAAGAGATAACGTTGGTGTTTCCGTCATGTAGTAACTGCTGGCTTTAACTGTACAAAGGTTGTTCGACACTATGAAACACATACAGACTTCACTAATATTTTTATTGTGAATATTAATCATGCTGACCTCGCTCTGTACACCACGCAGCGAGGTCAGCATATCCACGATATCCTCAGCTCCATGAGTTAACACAAAGTTTCCCAGCTGACTATCTAACTGCCAACTATTCCAGAGACGTGAAAATATACAGCATAAAGAAAAGTGTAAGAGACTCAGCAGCAGATTAGAATAACAGTTATACATTTAATAAATCACCAAATGAATCCAAGAAACGAGCAAACCTGTTCCGACAATTTGAATTTGTATTCCCTCAGCTGCAGACTCGCTGCTGTTTAAATGTTTGAAAAGGAAGATTAGATATAAAAAACGTCAAACATAGACTCAGTCTGCCTTCACATTTGATATGAGGCCAGCACGTATAGTGGCTGTGTCCTGTTTTAAGATCATACATGTAAAATTGTTGTCTGACCTCCGTCGATCCAGCCGCTCAGTCCGTGGTTACCATGGTTACTGCATAAGCAGCTATAATGTTAACAGCTGTGTTTATGTTTTTCATTGCAAAAGAACTGTCTGAATGGTTAACTGAAGTTAACTTGGATAAATTATAGTTAAGGAGTATCACAGATAATGCCTACGTAAGCTGTGCGACTGTTCACCACTACACTGAAATCAGCAGGCTATTACTGAAATACACGTGCTATATCATAAACTATGATATAAATAGGGAGGTCCTATTAACATGTTTAGTTTTAAAGGACACCTTCCTGCCTTTAGTCTCCTTCATGAGCAGTATTAGTTTTCTTCTAACATCCAGAAGTCTGCACAATGTGTTTCATAGTTTGTAACAAGCCTTTGACAGGTAAACATAACATGACCGAAAAAGCGAAAAAAAAAAAAAAAGAGAGAGAGTGTTGACATAAGAAGAGAAAATGCTCTCAATTATGGAGACAGACAAATGGTTCATTTATGTTTGATGTGTGTTTATTCCTCCCTAAATATCGTCGGTGAAGTTCGCCATGCACGTCAGATTTTCCTGCGCATTTTTATACCTCTGCCAACAGACAGAGAAAAAAATCACATTCTAACAGACAGCTGGTGCTTAGAATACAGTTGAATAACTATTAAAAACAGATGATATTTAGATGATAGTTCAGTCTAACACATGTGCCAGTGAACCATTAAACGTCTGTGAAACTATGCAGTTATGAAACGTAACTTTAACCTCAGCCAAACCGATTTGCTCAGTTGTAAATAAAACAGCGAAGTAAACGTGACCCGACAGACAGAACCTGAGTGAATGAAGTCCAGCGTTTAACCACTGAGAGCTAAAACTCAGCTGAGGTTTGAAAGCTGTGTGCCGGTGATTGGACATCAGCCGCTGATGAAGCTGTTCGCCTATTAAGTGCTCTGTAAGGAAACAAGCTCCAGCAGCTCTGCGCTCGGGGAAAACACTATATTTCCTTATCTTGTGCAGAAAAATGCGCTGACATTGCTTTATATCGAGCACCGGCTGCCCAGTTAAAACTGTGACTATCACCAGGTAACTAGGCGTGTTTCTTGAATTAGCAGCAGGTGTTAAACAGCTGACAGGTGAGGAGGAGGATGCATGCAGGTAAACTGAGGGTCTGCTGAGCTGATCGCTGGTTTCGTGAGAAAAATGTCAGCTCGTTCTTTATGTTACAGAAGCACAGAGACACAAGACCAGGCGGAAAGAGACGATCGTTCGGTCAAAATGAGAATCTGCGAATGCAACATGTGGAACACGGAGAGTGGAATATGTAAACAAACCGGTTAACGTACCCCCTGGGTGCACTCTGCATGCTAACTGTTAGCAGAGCTAGTGAAATCTCTGAAAACATCTGAGCACTTTTGCAAACATGTTCTATGTTGACAACCTGACCAGACACACGTCGCGACATTCGCGGCTAAAACACTGTTAAAAGTGTAGCTGGTGACAGAAAAACTACACCACCACCATTGCTGCCTGTGATTTGATCTGCATTCTGGGATAACTGGCTGCCCCAAGTCTACACAAGCAATCGATTATCTAGGATCGACCTGTTTTGACTTACTTTGCACGGCAACCAATCAAATGTTAGAGAAGCTGCATGGGCAGCTTTAACCCCGCCCCCTGAGTTTGATGGGTGAGGCTGACAGATAAAATTATTTCATGATAAGAGCCAGGCGCCAGGACTGCCAAAATGAAATAAATAAATATATCATTAAATAATTAATTAAATGTGTCAATAATTAATTAAAATGTGAAATACATAAATAATTAATTAAATGTGTCAACAATTAATTAATTACATGTGTCATAACTATTTATTTAATTAATTAATTCCTTTTTTAATTAATTATTGCCACATTTAATTAATTATTTAATGGTGTATTTAATTAATTCATTATGGCAGTCCTGGCGTTCCATATTTTTGTTGGTGGAGTCTGATATTGAATGTATGTACATTTCCACATCCTTAAAATAATGACAGAAATATGGTGTTTTGTTAGTAAACTTACATTTATGGATAAAAAATTTAGCTAAAAGTATTAACAAATTTATCATAAAAAAACATTTATCATACTTCTTTGGGAACTTAAAGAAACAGAATAAAACATTTTCCCATCGTAAAGAAAACTCCCTTAAAATATGGACAATAACAAACCTGCTAAATTCCTTCCAGAATCTCTGTGTAAAAGAACAGTACCAAAAAAGATGTGTCACAGTTTACGGCACATATAACATACATTAACCTAATACTTCCGTACCTTCGGTGGCAGAAATCCGTTGACAGAGAAACAGCAAAACCAGGAAGGGCACCATGTTCGCTCTCATTTCATGTTGTTCAGCTGTGTGAGTGTGATAACGACCATCACAGCAAACAATTGAAGTTTAATAATAAGTTTGATTAAACTTCAGTTGTAAGCCACCGAAAAGCGGCTGAACTGTAGATCCTGCGATTGGGCGCGCGCGTGTGCGTGTGGACGTTGAGTGCTATTTCGAGGAGGTTTGCTGAGCTGCACCCGTTCCTGTAAATCACGTGATCACATTGCGATTCAAATGTTTTGCTACTTCTGTTGCTCTACTTCATTTCGATGATAGTTTTTCTTACTCGCAGATCACTGAATTTAGTTGTACATGTTATTTAATGACCAACCAGTAGCCTAATGTTATACAGACATATCTGTTGTTGATAGTAAATGTATTCGCTTACATAACTGCTAAATTTGAATCCACCAATCAGAGAGGCTGTTTACGTTTTCTGCTGTCTGTTCTGCGGTGGGGGTGTGTATAGTCTGCACCAACACTGCTGCGTAGAATATGTCAAAGTAAAATTTTATTAACCATCTTTAACCCGTCGACATGTTTAAAACCTATAAAGGCAGCATAGTGTGCTTTTAAGCTACATCACAGGTTTTAAAGTAACAATAGCACAGGAGCCCATACGTTTTTCTTCCCCTTGTATTTTGCTGCCCTCTGGTGACTTATACAGAATAGGGCGGCCAGCTGGGAAACCGAGAAACCTTTCTGTTTAGTCATTTGTGAAATTTTTATACGTAGATCACACTGGACCAGAATGTAAATAAAAAGGGGGGCCTGTATTTATTTGAATCTTCCAAATACTATATCACTAAATCGATAAGCTGTAACCTAATATCTTTGAAATACGGTATCTAACCAGATTCTTGATATGGATGCCATTGCCTTAACCTCCAGTAATACTATGAGGAAGTCGTTTTGAACCAGGTAACCAGGTTGTCCTTCACTTAAAAAATATGCAGGAATTTTTTTTTGTGGGTCTGGTTTTTCGTCCCCTTGTCTCACTAGCTCTGATTTCTCCCAGCTGCGTTTCTTCAGTATCTCTCTCTTTTTTCATTCCCTCCGTGTCTCTGTGTGTCAGTGGGTTCAGGTTAGTTTTCTGTGTTCCACGCGTTTTTAGTGTATTTTATCAGCCAAAATAAAGGCCTGTTTTCTGTTAAATCATTCTCCTGCATCCATGTCTGCGTTTGAGTCCACTCCTCTCTCTCTGCACGATTTGCCCCTGGAAATTGTGACATTATTAACCTCTTGCTCTCTTTGACAGTGTGTCTTTTGTCCTGTTTTTATCCCCTTACCCTCAACTAGTCATGGAAGATGGCCGCCTCTCCCTGAGCCTGATTCTGCTGGAGGTTTCTTAATGTTAAAAGGGAGTTTTTTCTTCCCACTGTTGCCAAGTGTTTGTTTACAAAGGTTCATCTGATTGTTGAGGTTTTTTCCTGCATTATGGTAAGATTTTTATATTATTACAATATGAAATATCTCGAGGTGACTGTTGTTGTGATTTGGCACTATATAAATAAAATGGAATTCAACTGAAGACGGACCACTTTAAACACTTCCACCTAAACTGGAAAAGTGCTGCTTTCATATTAAAATTTAGCCATGGTGAAAAGAAAATTGACAAAAAGGAGGAGGTTGTTAGTGCAATGCGTACCCACATCAAGTATGCGAAGGGAATGCTTCTTTTTCTTTAAGGGTGGGAAGGTAATTTGTAAAAACAATAATTCCCACTGCAGTAACTAAAGCTCACTGCAGCCTACACTAAAGTAATCAACATTCAGATTGAGCATCTGAACAAACAGGCAACATGGGGAAAATAGTATTTGTGAAATTAATGATAGTCTGATATATTGTATTAGCTTTATTTTGAATTGTGCAAGTCTTTGCTGTGTTGTTTCACGTTATCGCCTTATTAAAATGTGACATTACAAAAACTGTCCATTGGGTGTTGCTGTGTGATAGATGCTAGATTGTTTTGAAACATTGTTAAGACTAATAACACTGCTTAGTCTGAGAGTGAGAGAGGGACATACTCTGTTACAAAATGAGTGAAGAAGGAAGCAAACAGTGGGGACGGGGCATAACATCTATATATGTGTTATGCCCCGTCCCCACTGTTTGCAGGAAGAGGACGGGTTTAGCTGATATCACAGGAAAAAAAATCTGATTACTGAAAAGGAAAATGAAGAACATATTTGTGCAATGCCTGCTCTGTAAGTAAAAATGTGTTTAAATGCCTTTGTACTGTACTGTCTGCTCTGATCAAAAGAAATAAGATGGTGACAACAAGAATAGAAAAACGAAGATGATAATTATATTTGGTTTTAATTCTGCTTATCTACTGGGGTTGGTCCTGTTGGTTCTTTTGTTTCAGAACTAAGGTGAGAAGTGAAGCACAAACTGAAAATTCTCAGATGTACAATTTGCATTTCGCAGTGTAGTTTTATTTACACCAATTTCCGTGATCACATTCATAAAAGGCATAAAAGACCTAAAAAATTGTTTTGAAGGTTCAGATTGTAAATTTTTGTATGAGCTTGGACAGCTGATTTTTTTTATGATTTTTATGATTCACTTTCATGAAAAGTACCTGGAAGTTGAAAACAGTGTAAAAATGTTTTGCGTTATTCTCAGGTCAACCAACATATATGTAGTCAGAGCCACGATTTCCTGCGTAAAAAGATGCTTTTTATTTTTTCTTTTAATTTTCCCCATTTAAAAAAAAATCCATTATGGTGGTATGAATGCATTCATACCACCATAATGGATTTTTTTTTTAGTAAAAAACGCCTAATTTGTAATCAAAACTTATTTCAATTCAATGTTTTAATTTGGGGATTTAACTGAAGTATTGCTCAGCTTTGTTGCAATTACAACCACTACTCTCGCCTCCTTTTTTCTTTATATTATGGCATTGTTAACTTTAACAACAATCAATAAGGATTTAAACTTTCACAGTTAATCTGAATACCAAATGACTTTTTTTTATGAATTGATTATATGTAAAACGTTAGACTTGAAAGCGGATATACAGTGGGGCAAAAAAGTATTTAGTCAGCCACCGATTGTGCAAGTTCCCCCACCTAAAATGATGACAGAGGTCAGTAATTTGCACCAGAGGTACACTTCAACTGTGAGAGACAGAATGTGAAAAAAAAATCCATGAATTCACATGGTAGGATTTGTAAAGAATTTATTCGTAAATCAGGGTGGAAAATAAGTATTTGGTCACCTCAAACAAGGAAAATCTCTGGCTCTCACAGACCTGTAACGTCTTCTGTAAGACGCTTTTCTGTCCCCCACTCGTTACCTGTATGAATGGCACCTGTTTGAACTCATCATCTGTATAAAAGACACCTGTCCACAGCCTCAAACAGTCAGACTCCAAACTCTGCCATGGCCAAGACCAAAGAGCTTTCGAAGGACACCAGGAAAAGTATTGTAGACCTGCACCAGACTGGGAAGAGTGAATCTACAATAGGCAAGCAGCTTGGTGTGAAAAAATCAACTGTGGGAGCAATCATCAGAAAATGGAAGACATACAAGACCACTGATAATCTCCCTCGATCTGGGGCTCCACGCAAGATCTCATCCCGTGGGGTCAAAATGATCATGAGAACGGTGAGCAAAGATCCCAGAACCACACGGGGGGACCTGGTGAATGACCTGCAGAGAGCTGGGACCAAAGTAACAAAGGTCACCATCAGTAACACACTACAACGGCAGGGAATCAAATCCCGCAGTGCCAGACGTGTTCCGCTGCTGAAGCCAGTGCATGTCCAGGCCCGTCTGAAGTTTGCCAGAGAGCACATGGATGATACAGCAGAGGATTGGGAGAATGTCATGTGGTCAGATGAAACCAAAGTAGAACTTTTTGGTATAAACTCAACTCGTCGTGTTTGGAGGAAGACGAATACTGAGTTGCATCCCAAGAACACCATACCTACTGTGAAGCATGGGGGTGGAAACATCATGCTATGGGGCTGTTTTTCTGCCAAGGGGACAGGACGACTGATCCGTGTTAAGGACAGAATGAATGGGGCCATGTATCGTGAGATTTTGAGCCAAAACCTCCTTCCATCAGTGAGAACTTTGAAGATGAAACGAGGCTGGGTCTTCCAACATGACAATGATCCAAAACACACCGCCCGGGCAACAAAGGAGTGGCTCCGTAAGAAGCATTTGAAAGTCCTGGAGTGGCCTAGCCAGTCTCCAGACCTCAACCCCATAGAAAATCTGTGGCGGGAGTTAAAAGTCCGTGTTGCTCGGCGACAGCCCCAAAACATCACTGCTCTCGAGAAGATCTGCATGGAGGAATGGGCCAAAATACCAGCTACTGTGTGTGCAAACCTGGTAAAGACCTATAGTAAACGTTTGACCTCTGTTATTGCCAACAAAGGTTATGTTACAAAGTACTGAGTTGTATTTTTGTTATTGACCAAATACTTATTTTCCACCCTGATTTACCAATAAATTCTTTACAAATCCTACCATGTGGATTCATGGATTTTTTTTTTTTTTTTTTTTTTTTTTTTTTTTTTTTTTTTTTTTTCACATTCTGTCTCTCACAGTTGAAGTGTACCTCTGGTGCAAATTACTGACCTCTGTCATCATTTTAGGTGGGGGAACTTGCACAATCGGTGGCTGACTAAATACTTTTTTGCCCCACTGTACTTTGTTTTTCTGACAACTGACTGTAAGTGTAATTTCTTCTAGTTCTGATCACTCTGCTGTTTTGCACAACAAATCAAGCTCGTCTGACTGTGAGTCCCAGCAGCTCTCAGTTCTTTGAAGGAGACTTTGTGTCTCTGAGCTGTGAGGAGGACGACAGCTCTGCTGGATGGACTCTGAGGAGAAACACAAGCAGACGGCAGAGGACTCAGTGTGGAGATGGGTGGGGAAAACCAGCTGGATCTTCCTGTAAGATCAGTCACATCTACAAATGGGAGACTGGAGTTTACTGGTGTGAGTCCAGAGAGGGTCCCATCAGTAACATGGTTAACCTGACAGTCACTGGTAAGCTGAGTGTGTGGAGTTAGTGTTGATGAAGCTGTGTGTAAATGGATGAAATGCTGTAGTTTGTCTCTGTGTTGAGGTGGATCAGTGATCCTGCAGAGTCCTGTCCTCCCTGTGATGGAGGGAGATGACGTCACTCTGCTCTGTAAAACAAAGACCACTCCCTCCAACCTCCCAGCTGCTTTCTATAAAGATGGCTCCCTCATCAGGAAGCAGCCTACAGGTCACATGACCATCCAGCATGTTTCCAGGTCTGATGAAGGCCTCTACAAGTGTGACATCAGCGGTCATGGAGAGTCTCCATCCAGCTGGATCACTGTCACAGGTGACACACTCACCTGTCTGTGTTTCTGCAGCTTTCAACATTCACAATGTGACAACTTGATGACTGTGTTTGCTTTATTTTAGGGGAACACACCACCACACCTCCACCTGGTTCCACCTCCATCACTCTTCCTCCATTGCTCTCTCCTCATGTTGTCTCTGTGTGGTCATCTGTTGGATCAGTCTGTGTTGTGACTTTACTGGTGTTACTGGTTCTGCTGGTGAAACGACTTGTTCACAAAAATTTAAAGGTGATGAGATTTTGGGCTTTTCGTTTATCCAGTTATCAAGTTTTATATACATGCATTTGGTTCCAAACATCATCTGTTATTCTTCTTGGCAATAAATAAAGTCCCCAGTAAGACATGTACAAAGTAAATTATATTGCTGTTCATTGTGGTTCTTCATCAGAACTTGAAGAAAATGACATCACAGAGGATATCACATATAGTGATATCAAAATCTCAAATCGTCAACATAAGCTAATAAGGGGGAGCAGAGGTACTGTATTATGTCCTTTGTATGTGTTTGATTTAATAGTTAAAGTAAAGAAGGTAAAGTGAAATGTGATTCATATAGACATTTTCAAGATAAATATCACAGTGTCTTAGAGCAGAATGACCTGTTTCTTAAACAGAAATGGACCAAAAAGTAAGTTTAAAAAGCTGAGGTTTTAGCTGCTTTTAAAAAATGCCACTGAGTTCACAGATCTCTGTGGGAGCGAGCTCCAGAGTCTATGAGCCACTGTCTCCATGCAGAGCTCTAAAAATCAAAACCAGTATCGTATATGTGTCTCTGAAGCTAATAGGGAGGCAGTGCAATTGAATTATCAATGGTGTGACATATAATTACAACCTAAAGAAGTGGAGTCTTCCATTAAACAAATTAGTTTCTCGCCAAAATTCACTTTTGGTGTTCAGCTTCAATCGAGGTTTTCGCAAGCAACATTTACAGAGCCAATTCCTGTAATATTTAATAAGTCTTAGGATTAGTGCCATGGGTGAGGTTTGAGGTAAAACTGCATTTTTAAGCCTTTCAAAATATAAATAAAAGCATAATGCAATCATTTGAAAATCTTATAAACCCTCATTTAGAAAATGTATTATTTTCTCTGTTACACTATGAATAAAGCGTATAGAAGTATAGACATAGATTTTGTGAGTTTCATAGGCTTAAAAGTACATCTTTTTTAGAGTTAAAGTCTGTCCACCTCCATTTACTGTTATTTTGGTTTTGTCATCTTGGTCAATCCATTAGAGAAAGAAGAAAAACAACATCTATTAATTGAAAAAGCAGGTATTCAGTATATTCAGATAGTCTGTTGGCATCATTTTTTGGACATATCCGCCACACAAACTGCCTATTGTTAATCCTTTATGTTATTCAATTTCAATTAATGTGCATCTTAAATAATTAACTGTATTTATCTTAGATAAAATGTGTTTTAGGGATGCATTCAAAACTCATCCTATAAATGTTCACAGCGTTCAAACGTTGAATGTCAACAGATTACACGGTTGTTTTTTACATGCTTACTGCATGTGTTTCAGCCGGTGGTTAGTCTGTTAACATAAGCCAGCAGCTCTGTGGTTGTCCACTTTCCTGTTTCTGATGTAACACTTCAATGGCTCAGGATTTACTGCAGGGCAGTAAAATATATATATATATATTTTTTTTTTTTAACTCCGTTTAGGCACAATAAATATTAAAAAAGTTACTGACTATTTGCGATCTTAATTTTATGAAGATAATTATTTTTGAGGTGGTATGACATCTTAACATCTTCACCAGTTGGTGCATTCCCACCATTATCAGCATCTCTCCATCCTCTATAAACACTCTGATCTGGGTCAGAGTGAGTATCAGATCTGTTTTCCATTTTCAAAATAGTATATTTATGTAAGAAAAACTCTCCAGTTCTTGTATTCATACCTATCATCTGTCTTACTTGTACCTGGGATAAGGTGCCTGCAAGATCTGCACAAAGCAGCTGTTTCACTGCTAGTTGCTGATGGAAGAAATGTTTTCATTCATTTTTTTCATTATGTCCAATTTAAATTTGAATACTGGAAACAAAATAATAATTTTGCTATATAATTTAGATATTAACATTAGTAGCTATATGACTGTTCTGCCTGCAGTGATTTTCTCCATGTGTGTTTTATTGTGCAGAGACTGAACCAGCTGCAGTCTACTCAGCAGTGAGAACTGAAGACGTCAATTATGGGCAAATCACCATCAAAGAGAAGCAAAGAAAATCAAAGAAAAGAGGTAAAGCTGTACTTCTTTGTCTTCATCATGGATAAAAAATGAGAAAAATAGTCCAGCAGGTGTTGAGATTTCTGTCTGAATCAGTGTGACACTGTTTACTAATTACTGTTGATCAAAGCATCTTTATTTAAACAGGGGTGAAGTCATGAATCGATTAACAGGGACTTGCATTTAAGAGTGAGATCACCAGTTTTCTCTCCCTGGTAAAAGCTGATGCAGACACATTCCTTCATCAGATTCACAAAGCTGCGTGCATACATGCCTCAGCTTTAATTAACTTCACACATGCAAAAAGTGTGATTTCCGCTCTTATCTATAGATGTGAAAGGTTCAGCAACAGCTTAAGCACAGACACGAAGTTTATTGTCTGTTTAGGCTTGTAACACCCCCATACTTTGTTCATCATTTCTGTGCATCATGTGAAGTTATGGCAGAAGTCTTGACTCCTATCTTTAATCACATGACAGTGATTATAGGTTTGCATCAAAACCTATAATAGAATATAGAAATAGAATAGAAATATAGCATAGAAATATCTGCAAAATAAAAGCACAGCACAGTTAGAAATTTTGCATGTTGTGTCACGTACACACATCCCGTGATTTTAGCATGTTTTCAGGACAGTAAAAGAGTCAAATAAATTTGCAATATACCTATAAATGTTAACGGTTTCTGTCAACTATTTAACATTTTTATTTGGTGCTTTCTGCAGCAGCATTACACACGTGTGTGTGTTTCCTATTTGTACAATATATAAAAGAAGTGTAAATAATCAAAATTGTTTTTGTGTTGTATTTAATGTAGTACCAGTATGATCTTACTACTGCACTGATGTCTTCCTTGTGTGTTTTATTGTTCAGAGTGTGAACCAGCTGCAGTCTATTCATCAGTGCAAACTGGAGACGTCAGTTATGATCAGATCACCATCAAAGAGAAGAAAAACAGATCAAAGACCAGAGGTACAGCTGCTCTTCTTTGTCTCCATCATGGTTCAGAACAAGTGTTTTTGTCCTTCACAAAGATGGTATTTGTTGTAAATATTGAGATGCTATTTGACAATCTGTAGCGGTTACTGTTATCTGTCACATTTTGCAGCATGAGTTCTCCATGAGTGTGATGATGGTGAGAGTTCAAACAAGAGATCCATACAGGACAGACGTTGTGAAGTGCAGTCAGTGATTTTAGTTGTGTTATGAACAAGTTGTGTTATGAATAAGTTGTGTTATGTTATGAACATGCCATAACACAATAAGTAATCCTGCTTTTAACACAGTAAAATTAAGTCCAGCAACTTAATTAAACAAATATCGGCTTAGTTCAAATGTTTAAATTCACATAATTTCATCACAAAGATGCTTTAAATCATATTTATCCCAAGGGCGTAGATTTGGTTTTGGCATTGGTGGGGACGGATGATTCAACCACCAAACCCTGTTTCTTTTTTTTCCTTTTTGTCTTTGCTTCTTGATAAAAAAAAAAGAAGGGAGAAATATACTTGCCTACAGTAGCGGTTTTTGATACGGGCGACACGGGCAGTTGCCCGGGGCGGCATCGTGGTGGGGGGCGGCATCACGGGCATCGGCAAAAAAAAACAATGCTCGTATTCATGCTGCCCCGACGTCATGCCAGCGCATATTGGGAATGTCACAGGCACTGATCGGTTTTCTATCTCCCATTTGCTGGGAGTAAGGACGGCCTCCGTTTGTGAGGTGCGCCTGCTGCTTGCGGCGCAGAGAGGAGAGGGCGGGGCGGCGGGGATTCTCTGACCGGCTGGAGCAGCATCTAATAATCAACTCACAAAATAAAAACAAACCAACAAACACAAAAACACCAGACATTATGATACAGACTTATAATTTGCACCGATGTTTTTTCGAAATTCTATACGCGAAAAGTGAGCGCGAGAGCCCTCGGTGCGCCTGCTCGCTGCTGAAGTCAAAGTAAACTTTATTGTCATCTCCGCTACATACAGTCCAGTATATAGAGAGACGAGACGACGAGGCTCCAGTTACAGCAGTACAAGTAAACAAACAATAAATATAAGAAGAGTAAGAAAATAAATATACACTTTAGGACCAGGGGTAAAGTACGGTGGCCCCTAGAGACAAAGCAAGTACAAACTCCAAAACACTTGCAAACTCCAAAACACTTGCAAACTCCAAAACACTTGCAAACTAAAAAACACTTGCAAACTCCAAACACTTGCAAACTCCAAAACACTTGCAAACTCCAAAACACATGCAAATTCCAAAACACATGCAAATTCCAAAACACTTGCAAACTCCAAAACACTTGCAAACTCCAAAACACATGCAAATTCCAAAACACATGCAAATTCCAAAACACTTGCAAACTCCAAAACACTTGCAAACTCCAAAACACTTGCAAACTCCAAAACACTTGCAAACTCCAAAACACTTGCAAACTAAAAAACACTTGCAAACTCCAAAACACTTGCAAACTAAAAAACACTTGCAAACTCCAAAACACTTGCAAATTCCAAAACACTTGCAAACTCCAAAACACTTGCAAACTCCAAAACACTTGCAAACTCCAAAACACATGCAAATTCCAAAAACATGCAATTCCAAAACACTTGCAAACTCCAAAACACTTGCAAACTCCAAAACACTTGCAAACTAAAAAACACTTGCAAACTCCAAACACTTGCAACAAAAACACTTGCAAACTCCAAAACACTTGCAAACTCC